GAGTTGTTGCTGGGTATCACGCTGGGCGCAGTTCTTGGCGCCGGACGCGTGACCACCAGAGGGCTCCATTGGGCAATCCCGCTGGGCACAAGGGTGGTGTGCCGGGCGAGCTTGAAAATGTGAACCTCTGGATGGCCCACGTCGGGCGTGGTTGGACCTTGCTGGGAGCGATATCAGTGAGTAACAAAGGTTTTTGGATTCTAGTGCTACGCCGGGCGCGACTACGTCTCGCCGGGCGTAGAGACTCCTTGGGAGTCTCTACTAGAGGCGGCGGCGGGCACAATTTGTATTGTGTCAGGCGTGAGACCTTGGGGAGGTCTCTGCCTTCCCTACGCCGAGCGCGGGTTTGGGCACGCCAGGCGCGTTAGACTCCTTGGAGTCTCTGCCTGGGTTTGCGCTGGGCGCAATTAGTATTACGCCGGGCGCGTTGAGCCCTGGTGCTCTCTGGTTAGGCCACGCCGGGCGCGACCATGAGTGCGTCGGGCGCGGATGTGTACTTGACATATATATGCTGTTAGATGTTGGAAATGCTGATAATTGTTTATATATGCTGAGCTGAGCTGTTAATTGATGAATGTTGAGCTGATTTATAATGTTGTGAGTTGTTTAAGCTGTGCTGTATAATGTTGAGTTGTACTATATGTAGTTATATGCTGTTATAGTTGTGTTGTGCTGTGCTGCATGCTGATATGAGCTGTTGTAGGCCGTAAGGCTGAGCTGTTATAGGCCGTAAGGCTGAGCTGTTATAGGCCGTAAGGATGAGCTGTTGTAGGAGATCTCCGAGCTGATATGCGTGACGACGCATTGTGTGTTTACTGCTATTTTTGTTGAATGATGTGAGTTGTGTGCTGTGCTGCATGCTGATATGAGCTGTTGTAGGCCGTAAGGCTGAGCTGTTATAGGCCGTAAGGCTGAGCTGTTATAGGCCGTAAGGATGAGCTGTTGTAGGAGATCTCCGAGCTGATATGCGTGACGACGCATTGGATTCGTTCCCTCTCTAATTTTAATTTTTCTAGTAGTGATTTTTCACCCCAAAATCCAACTTCCCACATGCTTCTCACTTTGAATTCTTCAACACACTCACCAATCTTTGAAATTTCACACCACTAACAACTCAGAAAGCATTCATTAGCTAGCAACTTAATCAACTTGAGATAATTCTAGCTTCCCTTTCCTTGGGTAGCTCGAAATCAAGGTAAAAGAGAAGAAAACTCAAAACTCTGCAACATGACTCCAAATGGATCAACAGCTCAATTCAAGGCTCCTAAGTACCTAAATTCACCAACAAGACAATACAATGAGAATAAAAGAAGGAAAAGAAAAAGATTGAGAGAAAAGGAAAGCTCATAGTTGACCAAAGTCCTTCTTTCTTGAATCCTCTTGCTAAACTTAGGAAAAAGAGTTTATGAAACCTTATTCAAAACAAAAATCTTATATATTTTTTCTCTCGAGATAAAACTGACGCTTTACTTAGAGAAACTCCCCAACACTACTGAAACTCCTAACAAATTCTTAGACCCTAAAATCTCTCAACATTAAATAATAATCCAATTTGACAACATAAAATAACTTAAAATAATTATAGCACTTTTACAACTCAGTGTTACATAAATTATGATTGATATTGGTTGATTAAGTGAAAAATAATACAAATATATTGTAAATTTAATACGTATTATCTTAATTTTTTGTGTATTCGTAAATATATTTATAATAATGTCCTTCAAATTTGTTTATAAATTCGTAAATATATTTATAATAATTTATCTGATATTATTAATTCTACCGAAAAAATAAAGTTAGAGTGGCCGGCCAACTCATCGAAAATAAAAAGAAATTGAAATAATTGTCTAATGCTGTTCATAGTCTAACTCTAATAATATATATAGCATGTAGAATTAATAAATACACTATATACATTCCAAGTTGGGGGCAAAAAAATGTGCGTATGACAATTTTATTTTTTTTAATCAAGCTTGATTGTCCCACACCTGGCAACCATTGTATCAAATTTATACAATTTATAATTTGATTTTATTCGGATATTATCATTACTCTTCTTTGTAGAAACCAAATTATTTTATATAGCAAAAAAAAATTATATCTTATTCGTGGCCATAACTCCACTAGTGGTGGTGTGAACGCTTGACAAAGAGGTTGCTGTGACAAACTAAGATTCTCCTTCCAAACCTCAAGCTAAGGCTATAAATACTTAACTCTGTGGCCCTGGTATGTACTAGAACACCAATAGCCAAGGGATTTCAGAAGATGGAGCAGAAAGAGAATCATGCTGGAAGGAAAAAAGGAGGGCTCATCACAATGCCCTTCATCTTTGGTAAGCTAATTCAGAATATGTAGAAATTCTGTTGCATCCATTATTAATTAGAAACATATTTCAAACTTAAATTTACTAATATCATTAGGTTATGATATATGAGGTATTATATTATTCATTTTCACATGCTATAAAACAAATAATACTTCAGATTTGATAATTATAATGATGTCACCAGACTTAAAGTCGGTGCAAAATGAAAAATCTTGTTAACTAGCTCCTCCTAACACACCACTCTAAAAATATGGTTTTGGATCTGATAATATGAATTTGGGTTAATTTGTTTTGGTGCAGCTAATGAGGTTTGTGAGAAGTTGGCTGTGGTGGGTTTCAACACAAACATGATAAGCTACTTGACAACACAGCTTCATATGCCATTAACCAAAGCAGCTAACACCCTCACTAACTTCAGTGGAACTGCAAGCTTGACACCATTGCTTGGTGCTTTCATTGCTGACTCTTTTGCCGGAAAGTTCTGGACTGTCACCGCTGCTTCCATTATATACCAAATTGTAAACACCCTCTCACCTAATTCTTTCTTCTGTTAAAGTAAATTCGGAGGTATCACACATATACATGCATATGCATTATTACCACACAATTTTTAAATCAAGTTCTTCATTTTCTTACCATTATGTTTTCCAAATCAAATAATGATACATGTGATATCTTTAAAAGTTGCAACTTTGCAGCTCAGATTTAATACAGTTTTAAAAAGGAAAAAAAAAATCACATTTACCTCAGTTCATTGAGTAAGAATAGATATTATAACTAAATTTCATTTCCATAGATTAAAAAAATAGATTTTATCTATATATATACACTCCATCAATATCTATTATATGTTTCTATTTTTTCTTCTAAATAGTATTATATCACTTATTATATATAATTTTTTTCCTCTTTTATTCTGGGTGTTCAAAAAAAGATTGTTGTCACATAAATTTTCCAAAATTGCAATATAAAGATAAAAAAAAAAATTTCACGTGAGGATATATGTAAATAGGTTAGAATTTACCAAAAGACCACACCGGTCGCTTGCAGAAGTTATTCTAATATTAGGATGGATGCCGCTTGGCGAATTCAAATGGCTAAAGACAGAATAAAAATTTGAAAGTAGGTGCAGTTTATATGCCTCATCAAGGACTAATTTCATTTTCTCTTTTGCATATCAACATTATTTCAATTTTTTAAAGGAAAAAAAAAAACACAGATTCTTTGATTCTTTGCTAAACACACTACACGCGTATACAGTTTATTCACATGTTTACAAAGCAACCTTTTCCTAATTTACTTGCCACTTCGGTGTAACTAATCAGGGGATGGTTAGTTTGACATTATCAGCAGTGCTTCCACAGTTTAGGCCACCTCCTTGTCACGGTGAGGAGGTGTGCAAACAAGCGAGTGCAGGACAGCTGGCAGTGCTATACATCTCACTTTTACTCGGTGCACTCGGGTCGGGTGGGATTCGCCCCTGCATCGTAGCGTTTGGGGCGGATCAATTTGATGAATCCGACCCGAAACAGACAACAAGGACATGGACTTACTTTAATTGGTACTATTTTGTGATGGGTGCGGCTATTCTTGTGGCTGTGACAGTTTTGGTTTACATTCAAGATAACATTGGGTGGGGATTGGGCCTGGGAATCCCCACCGTTGCGATGTTCATCTCAATTATTGCATTCATTGTCGGGTACCCGCTTTACCGGAACTTGAACCCGGTGGGTAGCCCGTTTACCCGGTTGGTGCAAGTGGGTGTGGCAGCATTTCGTAAGAGAAAGTTGCCGAATGTTGCACACCATGGCTTGCTATACCAAAATGATGAAATTGATGCGGCTATTTCAATGGGAGGGAAGCTTCTGCATACTGAACAGATGAAGTAAGTGACCAAAAATCTTTTTTTTTTTTTTAAATTAAAGTTTAAATGTGTTTTTCAGTCTTTTAAAATATGATTTTTTTTTTTTTTAAAAAATTTGTTTTAGCTCTTTTATTCAGTAAAAATATTTATTAAGTGAAAATGCATGGTTTTCGTAATTTTTGATAAGCTAAAGTAAACAAAATTTAAATATTCAAAAGTTATTTCTAAAAAATAATTTATATGTACTGTCATTATAATTTTTTACATTATTAACTATTTAAAAGTTATTTCTGAAATAATTTTTAATATAATTATTATAAAAGTTAACTGATATATATTGTATTCTTAAGGAATAATATAATCGGAATATTATTTCTATGAATATATGAAAAATGTTTGGTTCATTTTAATATTTTAGAAATATTTTTTAAATTTTAAAATAATTCAATAGAAATTAAAGTTACACATGGATTATAAAAAATAACTTCCGATATTTCTAAGAAAATATAGTTTACTCACCTCTCAATCTTAATAATAAAATCTCTACTTATAAAAATATCGTTTTTTAAGGGTAAAAGATACTTAAAAATATTATTACATAACCTTTAAAAAAAGAAGAAGCATTTTCATCTTTATATTCTTCGCAATAGAAAAAGTTAACTTGAAACAAACGTAAAAAGAAAATTTAAAAAAAAATCTAATCAGTTGAATAACTGGTAAGGTATTGTAAATCTTTTAATACTTAAAAGACTATTATGCATATAGTATATGTGTTATAACATAGTAAAAGGACAAACTACACATAGTTGTTTGCAATTGCACAACGATATAAATGTTTACAACTTGCACTATATTGATTCAAAACTTAATACGTCTTTAAAGTATTATTTTTTCAAGTATAGAAATATTTGATGAGCAAACATTTTCTTACGAGTTAATTACTTGTATATTATTAGAGTAAAATTTTTTACACCAATAGTCAATCAGAACTATAATAATATTTTCTCATCTACTCATTTAATTAAATTAAAATTAAAAAAATATTATTAACGACTCTGATTGATTATCAATATAAAAAATTTTATATTAATAATATATAAGTAATTAACTTTTATTATATATGGATATATGATATTGACTTATTGTGTTTTAATAACCGGATGAAATAATTTATTTATAATGGCCATCCCATCTGTCATAAATGAACGATAGAATTTCACTATTTGATCACAGCTTGACACCATAATAATTATCATATCATGATAGATTAATAGGTCGTAGATAAAGGTCATTAATTAAATAGTATGTTATTGACTTCTTGTGTTTCAGTAACTTGATGAAATAATTTAATTATATGGCCTTCTGTCACAATTTCGTCCCATAATATCATATCATAGGTTAACTTCATGTGCTATGTAGTAGATAAAGATCATTAATTACATATTCCTTCACTTCTCAATTTTAACTTAATTTTTTCACATGATTGGTTGGTCGTGCACACACAGCCCTAATGTCTTGTCCCATATGTATGTCTCTACTTGTGTGTATGAATATAGCTTTTAGTTTTCTTGACTGCCAGCACGTTCGTTTTATCTTTTCTAACATATGGCTCTCTAGTCCCCACGTAGAATTTTTATTTTGGCTTAAATGCATTTTTTTTTAGTTATGTGATTATAATCTCTTAAATTTTAATTAAATAATTTTTTCTTTTAAGTGTTACAATTATAAAATTTTAATCTTTTAAATTTTAATTAAACAATTTTAGTTTTTAACATATTACAATTATGTGATTTTAATATATTTAAGTTACATATATTTAATACATGAATGAAAATTATGATATATACATGAACAGCTTCGAATGATTAATAGAAAATTGTATCTTGTTAATTTGTGATGAAAAATGATACAGGTTTTTGGACAAGGCAGCAATTGTGACAGAAGAAGATGAGAGTGGGAAAGCACCCAACTTGTGGAGGCTAAGCACAGTTCACAGAGTGGAGGAGTTGAAGTCCATAATCAGGATGGGCCCAATATGGGCCTCGGGCATTCTTCTAATCACAGCCTATGCGCAACAGAGCACATTCTCCCTCCAACAAGCAAAAACAATGGACCGACACTTAACAAAAACGTTCGAAATCCCAGCAGGGTCCATGTCGGTCTTCACCATCCTCACCATGCTCACGACCACGGCCTTCTACGACCGGGTCTTCATCAAAGTGGCCCGCAGATTCACCGGGCTTGACCGCGGCATAAGCTTCCTCCACAGAATGGGCATTGGGTTCGTCATCTCAACCCTTGCCACCTTCGTGGCGGGCTTTATCGAAATGAAGCGAAAGAGAGCCGCTTGGGCCCACGGGCTTTTCGACCACCCACATGCCACCATCCCAATCTCGGTCTTCTGGCTCGTTCCACAGTACAGTCTCCACGGCATGGCTGAGGCCTTCATGTCCATTGGGCACTTGGAGTTTTTCTACGACCAGGCCCCAGAGAGCATGAGGAGCACTGCCATGGCACTGTTTTGGACTGCAATTTCTGTTGGGAACTATGTGAGCACCCTTTTGGTTACTCTTGTCCACAAGTTCAGTGCTGGGCCCAATGGCTCCAATTGGCTTCCTGATAACAACCTCAACAAGGGCAAGTTGGAGTATTTTTATTGGCTCATCACAGTGCTGCAGTTTCTTAATCTCATTTACTACTTGGTTTGCGCCAAATTGTACACTTACAAGCCAATTCAGGTCCATGACAAAGGGGATAGCAGTTCCGAAGTTGAACTCACCACCACAGTTTAAGTGCCATGGCTTATTAGAGTTTTATAATTACTTAATTACCCTCTCTCAGGAGGGACGATGCTTAGAGACTAGGAGACTCGATCGTGTGCTGTATATAAATAATTATTCTTACTAAACAATAGTAGAATATATGTGTTGCTTGTGTTCTTCTTTCATTTATTATTAACATGTCTTTACTTTAAATTAGTATTTTATTATTGTATGGTAGATAACCTTGTTCTTTTAGTATGCCAAGACATCTCAAGTTTTTAAATAGATAATTTTTTTTTAAAGATAAATCTTTAGTTGTGGGTTAGAGAATATCTTAATTTATATATATACTGATGTACTATCCGTACCGGAAAAGATTTCCGGTAAGAACAACTGATATTTTAATCTGTGTAATTTATATGTTAAATATTTATTATATATATTAAGTTTTATAATTAATAAAATATATAAATAAATATTATATTTAAAATATAAATTTTATTTATTGATGAGTCCTTTTTATTTGAACTAGCACAAAATTGTTTCAATTTAGGTATTTTACATTTAAACTTTCTTTAAGAACGGAGATAGACGAGAACAAAGTAACTAATAAGCGTTCATTTCAAGATTTTCATTAATGATTATCAAGCAATAATTATCATGCATGTAGATACTCAAATAAACAGAATGAACAATACATATATTGGCAATACAAATCATTGTCCACTTCGCATAATCATCAAGTTACAATATCATGATTTTTAGAATAACAAACTATGAACTACGAACTACACTATGGTATTAAACAAAACTAAACTAATCCTAGAAAAAGAAAGAAAATATGGCCAAGAAGTTGTCATATCTAACAATTCCATGCACAGAAGTCATATGCGCAGGCGGTGAGTGCTTATGAGAGTGAAAGTATGATTTTTCCAACCCCTTGTGAAGGGATATGTTTCTCATATTTATAGAGTTAGCCGAGAGCGGTTAATTTTGTATACGTACGTTGTGGGCTCGTAACTGCTATCCACTACCTCCATTTCGTGGCTTAAGCCGAGAACGGTTAATTTTGTATGCGTACGTTGTGGGCTCGTAACAGTTATCCACTATCCCCATTACGTGGCTTAAATGTAACTTTTTATAACCGTTTCATCCCACTTGATTTTTTGTTTCTTCGACTTACTCGTTTAGTAGCCACTCAGGTATAATTGTTCCCACACAGCTCAGGTAACCTCTGTTAACTTCTCGACTTACCCTCGAATACCTATATACATTTGGTCATACTTATCCTTTATTTGTTTATATGGCTTGCGTACTTTCAATTGACTTTTTCGAGTAGATCTCGAGAGAATCTTTTCGAGTAGCCCCAACAGTTATATATTTAATAAAAAAAGTGAAGCATTACCAAATATTTAACATTAAATTAAGGTAAAATACCATTAAAAATTAAGTTCTTATGTAGCAATTTGAAAGTTTAACATGTGATTACTAAAATTGTATTAAATAAATGTTTTCACTAAAATAACACCGGGCGCAATTTGTATTGTGCCGGGCGTGAGACCTTGGGGAGGTCTCTGCCTTCCCTGCACCGAGCGCGGGTTTGGGCACGTCGGGCGCGTGAGACTCCTTGGAGTCTCTGCCTGGGTTTGTGCTGGGCGCAATTGGTATTACGTCGGGCGCGTTGAGCTCTGGTGCTCTCTGGTTGGGCCACGCTGGACGGACCATGAGTGCGCCGGGCCCGACCATGAGTGCGCTAGGCGCGGATGTGTACTTGACATATATATGCTGTTAGATGTTGGAAATGCTGATAATTGTCGATATATGCTGAGCTGAGCTGTTAATTGATGAATGTTGAGCTGATTTATAATGCTGCTATGCTGTGAGTTGTTTAAGCTGTGCTGTATAATGTTGAGTTGTACTATATGTTGTTATATGCTGTTATAGTTGTGTTGTGCTATGCTGCATGCTGATATGAGTTGTTGTAGGCCGTAAGGCTGAGCAGTTATAGGTCGTAAGGCTGAGCTGTTTTTGGAGATCTCCGAGCTGATATGCGTGACGACGCATTGTGTGTTTACTACTGTTTTTGTTGAATGATGTGAGCTGTTTATTGATGTGTTGTATTATGATTCATGCTGAACCTAATGATGTGTTGATTAGTTGTAGTTGTTGTATTTTCTATATATGTTTACATATGCTGATTCTTTTCACTAGCTTATCCTTTATTGTTTCCATGTGGTTTGGACTGCAATGATCATACTATGTATGGGAGCAGAGCAGGGATAGGCTGGTGTGTAGAGGCAGGTCTGTGGCTGACAGATGCAGTGGATGATATTTGATGTTTTGTTGTTTTGGCCACTAGTTTGGCTATTTTGGATGTATTTTGTACATTGAGCCCCAAGCTAGACGTATTGTATATATTTTATTTTATATATGTATGCTCTTGTCTGTGTGGTGCTGTGTATATAATAATAATTAGTTAGTAAAATTATTTAAGCATTTAAGAATTTTATTGGTTATTTTTTATTATTATATTTTTCAAATTTTTGACGCATTTTTTTATGTTTTCGACAAACACAATTTTATAGGAATAATCGTGGAAAAGATTTGTCAGAACAATTATATTTTTTTCATAAAAAAAAATTCATGGGTAATATCCATTTAAAACAAATTCTTTTGTCACATATCTATTAGTAATATCCATCGGTAAATTTTCATTTTTCATGAATTCTAAATCTGTCAAAAATATTCGTCGACAATATAACTCCTACTCCCGTGATAGCTATTTTCAATCAAATCCCTTATGATATATATGTTAATTTACTCTTGTGATTTAATCTATTTCTTTAGGTTCTAATATTTAGGTTCACTTCTTAGTACCTCTCTAAATATTTAAAATTATGAAAAGCGATGATTAATCGTTTAACATATATAATTTGCAAAAAAAAATAATAATAATATGATCAAGAAGAGAACAAATTAAAATTAAATAACTGAATAATTCATAATAGCATAAAGGTTCTTAAGGGTTAAGCTCTGATCCTAAAAAAACGAAAGACTACTCACACATGTTCATATACATTAAATATTTATCATTTATTGAGACTAATGACAAAGTTCGCTTTCAATGTTTTATTCTTTAACAGATCAAATCAAAAGATCATCTCAAAACTCACAAATATGCTAAAGAGAAGAATCATGTTTTCTGTTAGAACCAAATCCCTGAAATCATGAAGAAAAACAAATAAAGTCACTATTATAGTCACTACAAAAAATATAAGATTTAACGGGGATTAATTTTGAATTTAACTGGGGTTATAACCCTCGCTAAATGCATTTATAGGGGTTGCACAAACTCCCAGTAAATCATCCGTAGGGAACGTATTAGCGATGTTTTTTAGTGAACTTCGAAAACTACAAGTTTCCTGACGGTTTTAAACCCCAACTAAGTAGTTGAGGTTTTTAACCCCCAATAATTATAACAAAGGTTTCTAACCCTGAATATGTAGTTGTGGTTTCTAAAACCCAATAATTAACGAGGATTTCTAACCCCGGCTATGCAATTGTGATTTTTATCCCTTAGTAATTAACCAGGGTTACGTAACCCCCATTAAGTAATGTGTGTTTATAACCCCGTTAAATAACATGTGTTTATAACCCTTGTAGATTAGTGAGGGTTATAACCCCCAAGAATGTGTTGGAGGTTATACAACCCTTATTAATACAATAAAAAATTTTCCTAGATTATTTACTTTTCGATAATACCTATTTTTTAAAAGAATATTTTCTTATACCTACACATTTAATATTATACTAGATATTCTTTACATAATGACCTTTTTGTTATATAATTATATAAAATAAATCAAGTAATAAAGATGCAAAATACAAAGTATAGAACTTGTTAAGTCAGACGAAGCAATTCCCAGAAAGGTTTTGAGTGAAAAATATAATGCACGTGGTTATCTCTAACAAGTGTGTTAGTATTTCAGAAGAACATAAGTATAGGTAAAATGAAGAACAAGCATATGCATCAGATGATACAAGACGACAGACGAAAGGTTAACACAAGCATCCAACAAGGCCAAATCAAGAACAAGGCAAAACTGTGTCAAGCACAACCTAAAACGCAACATAAAGACGTAGACGAAGATAAAAGGAAAAGTCAATGCGTTAATGAAAAATGCTCAGACAAAGGTCAAGGCTTGAGCTACATATAGACTACCAGACGCAGACGAAAGTTATCACGCAACCACCTGAGAAATCAAGTTTCAAAGGACAATTTGAATGTCATCCACACTCATAGGAGAACACACGAAGTCATCATAATTGTGAGAAGAAGAGAAGAAAGGAGAAAATCATGCGCAAAACTAAAAGCATGCATGTGTTAGAAAAAGTACATTACTTTTTCAGACAAGGACAAAACTCCACAGCTATGAGATCAGAAAAGGACAAAAAGGTTCCTAGGTCTCTGCTAAACTTAGACACTACTACTACCAAGACAAAGAACACTTCACGCAAGGTCTATCACAAGAGGCAACATTTAATGCAAGAATCTGAGCATTAAATGAGAAGATCAAACTAGTCGTAAATGACTATATCTGCTTCAACGGACACTTGCAACGGGCAGATTTCATAAGACTATATATAGGTCTCAACATCAAACCTTAAAAGGTTGGTTGTTTGGCCTGAAATGGTGCAAGTGTGAAGAAGAGTGATATCCAGCCCCATGATGCAACGAAACCAGAGACAGTGCGTATAGAGTCAAAAGTACATTAATGTGTTCGTCTCAGTAAACTACAGAATTTCAAATATGTACATCTTAGCATCAAATCGTAGTGAGTGTAGAAACATATGTATCCTCTCCTTGAGAGTAACCCAAACACTCAAACCAAACTTGTCTAGCCAACATTGTAAAGCCTGAAGAGACTAGGAAAAGAATACTTGTAAAGCCCGGAGCTTGTCAAAGAATACTCACTGCTAGCCAGAAGTGGCTGATAAGACAATACTAGCACTGGTGAGTGAAGCTGGTGGGTTAAGAGTGGTCGAGAATACTTGGAGAACCAGAAGTGGTTTAAGAATACTAGCATTGGTGAGTGAAGCTGGCAGGCTAGGAGTGGTCAAGAATACTTGGAGAACCAGAAGTGGTTTAAGAATACTACCATTGGTGAGTGAAGCCAATGGGCCAGGAGTGGTCAAGAACACTCAGGTCCAGGAGT